TCTCAAATTTTGGTTGGGGTTAATTAGCGTACAAATGACAGAGACATTGTGAGGCCTATATAGAGAATGTATAGCCTGTTATCACATGCATCAACAAGTAAGTCTGAGATGTCATGAGCAATCTCTTCCTTGCTTTCTAGCTCTAGCTCTTTCCAGCTCTAGCTGGACATAAGCGCAGATATTTTTGTTGTTCTGGTAACATGGGAGAAGGTTGTTGATCATTCATTAGTATATGATTAATTACAGAGCACATACAGACTTACAGGGCTACACTCCCTATAGAATGCTATGTAATGAATATGGCTTATACCTTTTTAATGAGGAAGTAGAATAATAGAAAAGATTTGTTGTTAAAACCATGTTTTCTTTGGGATACAATGTAAACAATCTGCTTGAGGAGCAGATGACAGGCCTAATCCATCCCTAGTGTAACTCTACTGGACTCAGTTGATTTGCATGAGATTAATTTTGTACATTCTTTTGGGGAGAGAAAAAAAAAAGTTGAGAATTACATAGCTGGGAAGGTGTCCAGTTAGTATCTAAAATGTGAAACTTTTATGCCAGGTTTAGTGGCTCAAGTGCTTTAGTTTAATGTTGGGGAGTTAAAAAGAAATATAAAGTAGAATTTAAAGTTATTGTCATGGATTGGAAATAATAATGACTTTTTTTTTCAAGTTGTGTTATTAATGACTTTTTTTTTTTCAAGTTGTGTAAACATAAAAAGGAAGCCCTTCCCTTCCTTCAATACTCTAGAACTTTTTGCTTAGAAATTTTAGCTTAAGAGTGACTTGTGTTCTTCCAGATGGGTGTGATTTTTCTGTTGTCTTTTTTTCTTTACAGAGTCAGAGGGATAGTGAAATCAACTCAGAAGCTGTTAAGGTTTCTTGTTAGGAAGAGTCATTAAGAGGAATAGATGAGAACTGTGCTGAGATTTTTAATTAAGCATGCTGCATAACAGAGGTAGAGAGGATTCAGTGACAGAGGACTGGAACAATTTGTATTAGCTTTATTTCAAAAACTCCCATGGGCTATTTAAAATGAGTTATTCAAAGTTATTAGAAAATAAGAAAAAGGAGATGCATTACAACCATTAAAATCCCCTTCATCACAAGATAAAATGTTTGTACCTCTTGCAAGTGTTAATAATTAAAACTTAGATAGTAGCCTATAGAGTGAGACTTGCAAGACTTTCTAGCAATTATATGCAGCATGCATTTTACATTTGCTGAGTACCACATGAATAACCCACCGATTTCAGGGAGAGTGCTTTTCCCAGATGGGTGTATGGCATCTTGGCAGGAGATGGATTTCCTGCTCTCCCTGCAATGAATTCACTATGGCACAAGCACTTATTTCATCCTGCTGGTGCCACAAGTGTTCACAAAATCTGTTTCCTGATCACGAGAAACATTCAAATGCTGTATTATTTGTGTTATGATATAAAGATTGGCCTCACTCCAGTAAAGTTCCCTCGAATTTCAGGGTAGTTGAGATGTGAAAAATAGAAAGAGATCACATCAGGGAAGAGCAGTAGAGGAATCATAGCAGGAATACAGTAGTGCAGGTATGTTAGTTCAGGTAGTGTTTGGAACTTGTACAGTTTTGTTTCTGTTTGCTACTCAGTAGAAGATACGAACTACTGTTGTAATGCAAGGCTTTTTAAATTGAAGAGACCACAATTTAACTGCCTAAATGTGCCATACCTCAAGATAATTAGTTGCTGTGAATTTCTACAGGGTTTAGGTAACCTTAGGAACTCTCGTATGATTTCAAAAGTGAGTTAAGGACTACATTCACTTAATAATTTTTTACTTGTTTTCTATCATTTAATAATCAACTTAATCAGGAGAAACATTGTTTACAAATGTGGTATTGCCTAAGAAAATACCAGTACAGAGCACCATCTAGTGCAGGATATCACTAACATAAAAGCCAGAATGCTCATATGTCACTTGTCTGTGTTTAGCTAATTTAATATGACCTATCATGCTGCACAAAGTGCCAGCCCAGTGGCTCCTGTGGAAATGTAATTTTGCAATTACATGGGAGACCATGGATTGAAAATTACTAGGGACCTTTTGGCAGGACAACAAAACTGGATGTATTGCAATTCAGGTAATAATTTCTGAGAACCATATACTTCTAAGAGGAATCTGCTTATCTTCCTGCCCACAGTGTTGGGTGATATATTCGTTACAATAATTCAATCCAATCTGTTTATAAACTAGGTTGGACACTGATTCTCACAATAGATTTAGAGACCCAACTGCCATTTTAGGTGCCTTAAGTACACCATTTAGCTCCTTGGAGCCTTTGCTCAGCTTCTGCAGAACCTCAGAGCTAGCCAGGTTCCTTAAGCCAGGCATTCACAGGTATGCAAACCACGACTTAACGGGCAAGATTGTGTTCCCCAGGGCTCAGTTTTGGGGCCGGTCTTGTTTAATACCTTTATCGATGATCTGGATGAGGGGATCGAGTGCACCCTCAGTAAGTTTGCAGACGACACCAAGTTGGGCAGGAGTGTTGATCTGCTCGAGGGTAGGAAGGCTCTGCAGAGGGACCTGGACAGGCTGGATCGATGGGCCCAGGCCAACTGTATGAGGTGCAAGAAGGCCAAGTGCCGGGTCCTGCACTTCGGCCACAACAACCCCATGCAGCGCTACAGGCTTGGGGAAGAGTGACTGGAAAGCTGCCTGGCAGAAAAGGACCTGGGGGTGCTGGTTGACAGCCAGCTGAACATGAGCCGGCAGTGTGCCCAGGCAGCCAAGAAGGCCAACAGCATCCT